GGGATGGGCCCGTTTTGCCCTGAAGAACTTCGTTCTGGATCTCGGAGGGAATGTCGCGCGGATTCTTTTCGGCCAGGAAGGAAGACCACAAGACGTCCACATGAAACTCACGCCGCTTTTTGCTCTCCGCTTCGGGTCTGCTTTGCGTTGGCCGGAGTCCACGCGAAAATCCGCTGCAGCACGATGTGAGGAGTTTTCTGTTCAGACTCCGCGCGCGGTTCAGACTCCGCCCCCTCTTCGACCTCCTCTCACGCCTCTTCCTCCTCCAATCTCCTTCATCCTCCTTCCATCCTCCTTCATTTCCTCCTTCCCCTCCTTCTCCTGATCTTCCTCGTCCATCCCCTCTCCCTCCTCCTACGAGCAGGAGGAGGAAGAAGCAGGAGGACGACGAGCATGAGGAGGGATGGAGAAAGGGAGTGGGATGACAAAAGGTCAGGAGGACAAGTAGGAGGAGCACGAGGAGGAAGAGGAGGCAGAGGATGAGTAGGAGGGGGATGAGGAAAGGGGTTAGACAGGAGGAGGAGGAGGAGGAGGAGGAGGAAACGGATGGGGCAGGAGGAGGAGGGAGGAGGAGAAGGGAGGAGGAGGGAGGGAGGAGGGGGGAGGAGGAGAGGGAAGCGGGAGAGGAGGAACAGGAGGAGCATGATGAGGAGGGGGAAGGGGGAGAAGGAAGGAGAAGGAGGACGAGAAGGAACGGAGGAGGAGGTGGAGGAGGAGGAACAGGAGGAGGATAAGGAGGAGGAGCAGGAGCATAAAGATACCCCCCAGACGGCCCCAGGGTGCCCCATGACAATACTGCACCCCCCAGACGGACCCAAAACGCCCTCCAGAGGCAAAAGTACCTCGAGAACGCATGATTTGATCGACGCCCCCCAAGATGGCCTCGGAGAGGCCTAGGAGACCCGCAGACGGCACCGCGACCATCATATCTCAAGGGCCCACAGCGTAACCTCCCCATGGAGGGACCTGGCGTAGCCATAAGCGGACACCCAAGGGCCCTGTCATAGACTCTGAGCGTCTTCGTCGTTCTCGTCCTCCTTCTCTTCCTCCTCCTCCTCCTCCTCTTCCTCCGCCTCCTCATCATCATCATCATTCCCCTTGCCCTTGAGGAACGAGGCTTTTTTCAGCAGGGCTGCCTCTCTGCATGATGGCTCCTGCTGTGCTGATGTCCCCGTTGTGACAGCACGGAGCCCTCGGGCATCGCGAGCGAGCCCCGTGCTGGAAGTCTTGGGCCATAGTTCTGAGTAGCGTCCAGGGTGGGGGCGATTGGAAAAGAAGGGCGCTCAGATCTGGCTTGGGCCGGAGCGCCACGGACTCGCCTATTTACATCGGCGGTCTCGCCTCAAGGCCAACCGACTCCGAGGGAAAGATAGCTCCCAAGGAAGAATGGCGGCTCCTTGCCGCCTAGCCCTGAGCGCCAGGATGCAGTTCGACACGCAGGGCCCCAAGAAGGCACCAAGAGAGCCGCGTCTCCAAGAAGGCACCAACATGGCGGGAACGGTCGATGGGATCCCCCGGCGGGAACAGTCAGGCGGGAACCCCAGGCGAGAACGGTCAGGCGGGAACCCCCGGCATTGCACGTGGAACGCCCGCCATGCGATGCTGCATGCCAGGCAACTGGGGGTGGGGCATGATGCCCCCCCCCAGTTGCCAGGCATTGCATGCGCAATGCCTGGCAAACAGCCTCCCTGAAAAGCGTGAATGCCTGGCATGAGGGGCTTCATGCCAGGCCTATCGAGAGGTTGCAACGGCCCTGCAAACCCTCAGTTACCTGGCATTGCAGGCGCAATGCCTGGCAACTGTGCCCGGGCATCAGGCCCCCCCCAGTTGCCAGGCATGCGGAGTCGCATGCCTGGGGTTCACGCCGAGACGTTCGCACCAGGCGTTCGATCCGAGGCGCTCGCGCCAAGGCGCTCGCCCCAAGGCGTTCAGGGCCCTGGGAGGCTCCAAGACTGCGCCAGGAGAGCTCCAAGAGGGGACTACAGGAGACTCCTAGAGACGGATCCAGGATAATACGCCAAGACGGATCCAGGAGAGCACGAGATGGCCTCAAGGTTGGTCACGCGAGCATGTTTTTGAGGCTCCCTTGGCCCTCATGACAGCCGGATCGGGGACCTCTTCGGAGGCCTCCAAGGCGTTCGTAAAGGGGAAGACGTAGGCGTCCTTGATCAAGGCAATTCGCTTGGCAGTCTTGTCATATCCAAAGAGGGGGAGGAGGAGGAGGAGGAGGAGGAGGAGGAGGAGGAGGAGGAGGAGGTGAAGGTGGAGGAGGAGGGTTTTCCCAAGGCCCCTAAAACGGGAGTCGGAGACTGATCCACGGAGTCGGAGATTGATCCGCGGAGAAGGAGGAGGAGGAGGAGGAGGAGACGTACCCCGAGAAGGAAGGGGAGGATGAGGGGGTAACGGAGGAGAAGGAAGAGAGACGGAGGTAAGGCGCTCGCGCGGGTGCCCAAACGGGAGGGCACGGGTTGTCATCGCCTGAACGCCGCCCAGCGCAGCGGGCAGGGCGGGACGGGCGAGAGAGCGGGGGTGGTCGTTATTTGAATGTTCCCTTGCCCCATCCTTATACTCCTCATCATCCTCATCCTCCCACTTCTTCTCCTTCTCTGCCTCATCCTCATCCTTCCCCTCGTCCTGCTGATCCTCCTCCTCATCCTCGTCCTCCTCGTCAATGTGCCAA